TCAGAGAGGTGTGTGTGTGTGAGAGAGAGAGAGAGAGAGAGCCTCAGAGAGGTGTGTGATGGATGAAAGGATAGGCGGCAGCAGAGCGTCCCATTGCGCAATCATGCGTGTACGCGAGTCGCGCAATCACTGTGTGAGTGGATGTCCGGTTCCGGACGCAGAGCCACTCCGTAATTAATTCGCTGTGGCTACGGGTACGGCAGCCGTATCTCAAGGCTGGAGGTACGGCGGTCCATTCGCTTTCATACTTAACGAGACAAAGATGGCGGCGGGTGGCACCGGATTTCGAAATAACGCCTTGGGAAATAAATTCACGATATGAGTTTAGATGAGCTTGAACCCTAACCCCAACCCTAACGCCAAAAAGGGGCTTCAACGAACGACGGCTGCCAAACTTCCAGCCACTGCGTAATTAATTAGACCTACATCAGTAACTGTCCACAGTCGTTGTCACTTGCTGACCAAGTCCGTAATGACGGATTGTGATTAAAGGGGGGTTATTTCTTGAAGTTCAGTCACGATAAATAATCGTAATCGGACTTGGAAGACTTACAAGTGCGTTCAAATGATCGAAAATTTATTATCTAAATCTAAATCCGACGCCCTGCTGTACTGACTGTAGTTTCGACGGATGAGTGTGTTCGTGGGTCCCACTAAACAGCGGAATGTGCATGAATGTGCATCTATAACTGCCGTAATGTATCAAAATGTGGCAAAACGGGTTTAAACGTGTTAAATCTGTCGAAACCTCTCGGAGTTCATAAATGTGCACTGCTATATATATGTTACATATTATATATACTACATATTGCTATCCGTAATGTGTGTGTAGTATATTATTTTCAACATAACGTGATCGTGCCATATTGCTTTATATTCATGATTGATACATTGTGGCAGTTATAGATGCACATTTCACCACATTCTTGCACATTCTGCTCATTTAGTAGTGCCACGTACATCAAGAGTACATAATAGAGAAGAGTATGACACCGTTTTAACAGCGTTTTGCATAGTTTTCAACTTGTAAATATTCTATCAATATGTAAATAAATATATTAAAACTTTACCTTGTTTTCATCTATGATTCTCCCTTAATCATATGACACCACCAATTTACCTGAAAATCGTATGTGTTCTTCAAAAACGTTCTTTGAATATAACACGGTTTCACACAGTTTTCCCAAATGTTCGCATGTATTCGGCGCAAGTTTATTATGGGAACGCTGGGGGCTGTTGGGGATTATTAGGCATCGAATTGTATTCAGCATGTAGGGTTTCCAGCATGCTAAAAATAAATATGTGCTAACGGCGAGCTAGCAGCTGATTTTAGCTGTGTTTCCATCGTGTTCCTGATGATAAGGAAGCAGCCTAAAAATTACTTTTTTTTTTACGAGAGCTCTTTTTTGATTTTGTATGAAAAAA